CATGTGATAAACTTCAGCATGGTATGACTACCTCAGATATATAAGGAAATTTTTTACTTTTATTTCTTTATAATAAACTTGAAATAAGCTTAGAAAGTGTGCACTGGAAACCTAATGTTGAAATAGATTATAATTAACAGCATCTCACTCATTCCTTCCTTTATTATACAAGGCAAGGAACACTTTACATTTTATATGGTTCTAAATTGGAGGAAATTTGATCCTAGTAGGAATGATTGCTTTTATGTTGGCAACTGGTTATATTGTGTTATTAAGTAAGAAATGTCCGATTTTCTTAAGTACTAAGTGACAGTTGATACCGCTGACATTTCACTTTAACACTTCTTGTTTTATTTTTATTGTGAAGGTACATCCTCATTCTTTCAAACACAGTTTGATTTGTGATTATCTTTCAGTTTTTTTAGAGCAATTTTTGTGAAACCATGGATAAGTCAAAAATTCATGTTATTTTTGAATATGAGTTCTGTTACGAAACCAATGTAGTGCAGACATCTTGAAATATCAACGAAGCATTTGGGAAGGAGCAGCTAATGAACACTCAGTCCATCAATGGTTTGAGAAGTTCTGTCCATTCTGATGATTTTAATCTTGAAAATGAGCCATGTGAGTGACCCAAGACCAAAGTGGATAATGACGAGCTGAAAGCTGTAGTGGAAATGAATCCATCTCAACCTATGCATGAATTAGCAGCAAGGTTTGACATTACTATTACAACGACATTGGACAAATTGGCAAGGTAAAGAAGCTGGATAGATGGATACCGCATGAATTAAATGAGTGTCAGCAGAGAAATCATCTAGAAGCTTGCCTTTCTTTGCTGTCATGACATAAAGATGAACTATTTCTACACCATATTGTTACATGTGATGAAAAATGGATTCCTTTTTGACAATCACAAGCATTCAGCACAATGGTTAGATCAAGATGAACTGCCAAAACAGTCCAAAACCAAATATTCATCAAAAAAAGTTAATGGTGTCTGGTGGTCCAGGGCTGGTATTATCCACTACAGCTTTGTGAAACCTGGTCAGTCGATTACAGTGGATGTCTGCTGCAACCAGTAGGATGAAATGATGAGGATGCCTGTGATTAAGGCAGCTAAAACTGGTCAGTAGAGACAGGCCAATCCTCTTTCAAGACAATGCTCGACCACATGTTGCACAAACAACACTGCTCAAACTACAGGGGCTGGACTTGGGAACTCTCTGTCATCTACCATATATTCACCAGACCTTGCACCAACTGACTACCACTTCTTCCAGGCTTTGGATCACTTCTTGCAAGGGAAAATACTCATTTCTCAACAAGCTGTGGAAAATACCTCTTGTGATTTCATCGCCACTCATTCTCTAGGCTTCTTCGCTGCTGGCATAATAAACAAGCTACCAACAAGATGGCAAAACTGTGTTGATAGTTTAGGTGCATACTTTGATTAATTGTACTGCTTCTTATTTGAGATATAATAAACTAACCTTTTGATTTGAAATCGGACATTTCATATTTAATGACATAATGCAATCACTGATTTACTTCATATCTGGAATAAATATTCAAGGACAAATTCTGCATTTCTCAAACATATTAAAAAGGGATTCCATGGTCAAATACCAAAAGTTTGGGAAACAAGTACAACTTGGACAAGTTTCTTTTCTGCATGATTTCTTGGAGTCTTAATTTAACTACTATGGATTCTCCTTCACACCTTCCTCCCCACCCCTGACCCCTAGAGAACATAAGCACAGTTTGAGAAAGCCTAGTCTAATAAATTAGCTCAGGTTACATTTTAAATAATGTAGTTAATGAGCTAGCACAGAAAAATATAAATCAACATAATGGTATTGATTCAAGGTTAATTAAATAAACGATAGCTAGAAATCTATTTGTAAAAGTGGGAATGGAAAAAGATTATTTCCTCCAGTTTTGCTGGTTTTTAACTTCAGATATATAAGGTACAGCTAATAGATTCGATTTACATTATTAAACCCAATAGCCAACAGCATTTTCTGCACTTCAGCATTTGTGTAATGTTAAGCCACTACTGTGAAAACCAAAAATACACTGTATGCATGTACAGCAGAAGCACAGAAAGGAAGGAATTACTTCTAAGAAAGTACTTAAAGTATATATGATATTCTTTAATTATGTTCACTTGAACATTTTTACTTTTAATAAGTTTTTTTTTGCATAGGTTTGAAGTCTGTCTTGATGAGGAAAGACATTTTCATAATAAAGAACTTGCAAATGTCTAAAGTGTAAGTATCTATAATATGAAAAATATGGTAGACAAGCTAATATTTAATATTTTAATTGTGCTTGTATTATGTGTCTGGCCTTAAAGCCAAGTATTTTTTTAAAAAGTTGTTTGAAAGGCAAATCCTAATTAGGCTAAGATTATAGGTCAATTTTTATGTAGGATATTTAACTCTGCTTCAACAACTAACAGTGCAACTAGTCATCCTAAACATGTTATCCTAGAGGAAACTAGAGTAGATGGATTATTATAAACTTCATTCCCATATCTCAAAAATCACCTTAAAAGTACATGCTCTACTACTAATAGTGGGCCAGTATCATCATCTTAAACATTTTCCTACAAGGACTCTTAGCTTAAGATTTTCTTTTGCTGCTTATGTAAAACAGGTATGTTAAAAGGAAAACCATAAAAATTAAAATTTAGGTAAATTCTGCCATATTTCAAGATATTTATAAACAGACTATATAGCAAACATTTGCAAAAGATGTATATAGAATGCAATTAATAAGCTAATAGGAATTTGGCAGTAGAAAAACTAGCATGTTAAAACATACAATTTTTCCTTCAGTCCAGGATTTAAGAACATCTTAATCTCAATTCACAATCCAGTTATACTATAAATTGTACTCCCTTTTATATTACCCAGTGGCTAATTTCTTTTATGCCTTTATGATAAATGTAATATCACTGTGTAACAACGTAGTAAGACAAAATATTTAACCTTATATTAGCAGGGCTGCTGGTATGTTGGTATTATCACTTAGCGGCTTGTCATTCGGTAAGTATGTTGTGGGGATTTTGTCATTTGATTACTTGTTTTAGTAGAAATGCTTTATAAAGTAGTTGTATTTTTCTGCAGCATATTTCTTAGTTAAAATTTTTACCTGCTATTAA